AAAAAATAAAATTTTAATTTTTTAAAAAAAAAAATTAAAAAAAAAAAAATAAAAATATTTAAAAAAAAAAAAAAAAAAAAAAAAAAAAATGAAAAATAATGTTTTTTTTTTTTTTTTTTTTCTTTTTTCTTTTTCAAAAAAACAATGGAAATAAATGCTTAATATGTTAATAAAATGTTCATAAAAAAAAAATAAATAAATAAAATATGTAAATATATATAAATATAAAAATTAGACATACATGTACATAATAGTAAAGGCTTATATGATTAATATGAATTATTTAATATTTAGATTTATTATCCATAATTTTTTTTTTATTTTATAAAATTTGATGCATTAGTATCAACTACATAATAAAGTTTGTTATTGCATTTGTAAAGAAAATATTATAATTACAAGTATAACTAAGTGAATTTGTATTAACAATTTAAGTTTTTTTTTTTTTTTTTTTTTTAAATTCTTGTATTATTTGAATTATATAAAAATAAAATTAATTATATATTTTGAATGAATTTTTTATAAAGAATTCAAATTATTTTAATAATATAAAATAAAATATAATAATTTTGTATTTTTTTTTTTTTTTTTTTTTTTTTTTTTTCTTTCTTTCTTGTTTATTATTATTTAATTTCTTTTTATGCATATGGATTTCTAGGTGCTTTTTCAGAACTACTAGGATTTTTAATAGTTTCATCAATAGATAAAATTAAGCAAGCTGCTTCTGTAGCACTATATATTACATTTCTTTTAATTTTAGTAACTTCAAATATGCAATGCTCATAAGCATTAATTATATCTCCCTCTAAACAGTCAACGCCATACCATATATCATTTGTTCCTTCAGAATGTTTTTTTCTTAGTTTATTTAAAATATCTGTAGAATCATAACCAGCATTATGTGATAAGTGTCTTGGAATGGATTCTAATGCTTTTGCAAAGGAATATAAAACTATTTGTTCTTTATTACATATAGATCTACTATATATTCTTAAATATTTTGATAATTGCATTTCGATAGACCCTGCACCTGGTACAATTTCAGAATTACTCATACATCTTAATACTATCATAATTGCATCATTAATTGATCTTTCGACTTCTTCAATAAATTGTTTAGCTCCACCTCTTAATATTATTGTCACTGATTTAGTTTTTAAACATTCTTTAAATATATTATATCTCTCATTACCAATTTGTACTTCTTCAAATATTCCACAATTTCCTAAAATATTTTCATTTAAATTAAATAAAGAGGTTTGGATAACAGCACCTGTAGCATTAGCAGTTCTTTTTAAATCTGCATCTTCCACTCTACCTGCACAAAAAATGTTGTGGTCAGCAAAAAATTGTGTAGCGATATCTCCTATTGGAAGTTTTGATAAAACAATATTAGCACCACTATCTTTTATTAAATTTAATTTTTTAAATATAATATCCCATTCTGCTTGAACAATTGAATTATACTCATTTGGATTTTCAATTCTGACTTCTGCATTTTCTTTTTCTGCTTTTAATTCTAATTCTACATTTAATAATAAAATTTTTGGATTGTTAAACTTTTTGGGTTGTTGTTCAAAACCTGCATAAGAAAATGTTTTTTTAAAAGCTACACCATATATTAATTGAGTATCCAAACATGATCCTCCTGTTACTTTTTTGATACCTATATTTGATTTATCTAGATTATCTCCTAATTTATAAGCAGCATTAACAACTAATTCAGCAAAAAAAGCTTTATGATTAGATACCAATTTAGAATTTAAAGCTGTTTGTGCACATTTTAATAAAATATTTCTTTTTTCTTCTTCATTTTTACTAGAAAAATTTAAGCTTAATTCATTCAATTTATTTATAGCAACATTACATGCATTTCTAAATCCATCTATTATCATATTAGGTTCTATTCCATCATTTAATAAACCCTTTGCTTCATTTAATAGTTCTCCAGCGACTATTACTACTGAAGTAGTACCATCTCCAACTTCATCATCTTGTGATTTTGCAATATCAACTAAAATTGAAGCAGCAGGATGAGTTATGTTTAATAAATTCATAACTGTAGCCCCATCGTTTGTTATTGTTACTTCTTTATCTGTATAGATCAATTTGTCCATTCCTCTAGGTCCTAAAGTTGTTTTTACAATATCAACTATTATTTGACATGCATTAATATTTCTAATTATTTGACTTTTTCCTTGTGATTTATCTGTGCCTTCTTTTAACAAAACTATTGGTAATGACTATAAAAAAACATATATATATATAAAAAAAAAATATATTTAATAATATGCAAATAAAATGCGTTATATTTAATAAAATATATATATATAAAAGATCATATACACAGAAATAATTAACAAAATAATAAGTTAAATAAGAAATATTCTAAACTAATTAAATGAAAATAGTAAAAAACATATATACATAAATTTCTTAATAATTAATTTTCCTTATTTATTTGTTTTCTTTTTAAAGATAAATATTATACCATTAAATGACTCATTTTGAAGTATATTCTGATAATCTATATTTTACAAAAAAAAAAAAAAAAAAAAAGAATATATTTACGTTTATTTTTCACTTAGTATAAAGTAGTTTATCACTTTTCTTATTTTAAAAAAAAGAATGTAAATTTAAGAATATATTTGAATATATTTATATATAAATTTAAAATTTTTTTTTTTTATATCATTTCTTTTTATTAAATAAAAAAAAAAATGAAACAAAACCAAATAATATTTTATTGTTTTTTGTATTTTGAAATAAAAAAAAAAAAGAAAAAAAAATATATATATATATATATAAAGAAATTAAAAAAAAAAGAATAAATTAAGTCATTAAAAAATTTTGACTGATGTATTTATTTTTTGTTAATGTGCTTTAAGATTTTTCATTGTGCATCTATATTTTTACTTTATTTTTTTTAATTTACATTTTACCTCCAAAAATTAAATATTATAATTTAAAATACATAAAATTAGAAAAATACTTCATAATTAATTATATTTTAATTTTTAAATTGTATACGAAAAAAATACTTTATGAATAATGGGTATTCACATTATTTTTGATGAAAATATAACAAAAGAAAAAGAATAATAAAGATTATTTAATAAAAAAAATACTTGTTTTTTTTTTTTTGAATTATATATATTAAACACACACTTAAAAAATATATTTATCAAACAATTAAAAGTTTATATGCTTAAAAAGGTTGAAAAAAAAAAAAAATAAAATGCCATTGAAAAAGTAAATAACAACAAAAAAAAAAAAAGAAACATTAAAGTATTTTAAATAATAATTATTTACACCCATTATATAAAATTTAATAATATTAATTTAGAAAAAAGACTTACAACTAAATTATAAAAAAAAATATACAAAAAAAAAAAAAAAAATTAAAACAATAAAAAATTTTAACGAAGGGATATAAATTAAAAATTTTTTTTTTTTTTTTTTATCTTTTTTATATTAGAATGTTAGGTTATTAAAGAATATAAATAAAATTATATCTGTATAAGGTAAGGGAACTATTTATTTTTTTTTTTCCTAGTTTAATATTTTTGTTTTAATTTTTCATATTTTTCACTTAGTAATAATCTATAATTTTTATATTAAATAATATTTAAGTTTCTTTATAATTTTCAATCATTCTCAAATCTCATATGAGGTTTAATATTGCTAATTACTGAAAAAAATTCAGACGAAGTGTCAGAAGCTATATCTTTATATGAACTATCTGGGTGAGATAATGGAGGTTTATTTTTTGTAGATATAGTAGAATTTGAAAATATATTTTCCTTATCATTTGTAAATTTATCATTTAATATTGTATTTGTTTTTTTTGTATTTTTTTTTGAAATCACAAAATTATAAATTTGATCAGTATTTTTTTTTGTATTTAGAGATCTATTATTAATTGGTGTTTTATATATATCATTTATATTACTTTTTAATCTTTCAATTGCTTTACCTGTATTTTTATCCATTTTGTGTATTTCTAAATTATTTTTATTACAATTTATAAAATGTTCTTCGTTATTTGATAAAGGTTTGTCATAACCGTTACAATAATCAAATTGAAAGTTTCCTATAAGTATCTCATTATCTAAATCTATAACTGTATTTAATTCATCATTATCTCTGTTATTCATAAAAATGTTACAATTATTATTTTCATTTAAATTGCTACCTTCTAAATTAAATATTACATCTTTTTTTTTAATACACCCATCCATATAATATTTAGAAACATTATAACCTTTTTTAGATTTATAAATATTTATAAAATTATTTACTTTATTTGTTTTATTTAATACTTTTTCTGATTTATTATTTAGTAAAATATCAAATCCACAAAAATTATAATTTTTAAATTTAAACTTTTGTTTACTACAGCAGTTTGTATGACAAATTAACAATTCAAAGTTAGCTAAAAATGAAGCTATATATTCTGACATATTATAAAAGATTAAAAAAATATGAATTACAATAAAACAAAACACTTTTATAATTTTTGATTATATAAAGTCTTTATTAAAATTTTATATAAATACAATGAAGTTATAAAAATGAAAAATAAAATTAAACCTTCAGCAATATTATATGTAACAAATAATTTTAATTGTAATTATGAAAAAAAATATAATCATAAGAATATAAATACTTATATAATTCAATTTATAAAATTAGGATGTAGAAATAAATAAAAAGTAAAAAATACTTGTCACTTATCAGGATTGAAACAATTAAAACACTAAATAAATAAAAATGTTAAAATTCAAAAAAAAAAAAAAGTTATATAAAAATTATTATGAAATATGCCATATTTTTAAATGATATGATATTTTTTAACATCAATATTTTATTAAAAAATGTTATCATTTGTTTTTCAATAAAAAAAAAAAAAAAAAAAAAAACAGATGAAAATGTGAAATAAAAACTTTAGAAATACTGTAGGGACCTATTATTTTCGTATTTTTTTTTTTTTTTTTTTTTTTTTTTATTGAAAAACAAATGATAACATTTTTTAATAAAATATTGATGTTAAAAAATATCATATCATTTAAAAATATGGCATATTTCATAATAATTTTTATATAACTTTTTTTTTTTTTTGAATTTTAACATTTTTATTTATTTAGTGTTTTAATTGTTTCAATCNAAAAAAAAAAAAAAAAAAAAAAAAAAAATAGAAAGGAATTGCATAACATTTATACAACGTAAAAGCTGTTCTATTTTTTTTTAAAAGGTTTAGTAAATTATTATATCATTTTTAGTTTAAAAAATTTATAATTAGATCATTTAGAAAAAAATAAAATAATTAAAAATAAGAAAAAAAGATCTTTTGCTTTTTTCTTTTTTATTAATGAAATTTAGAAGTTATCTAAGAACTAAAAAGAGCATTTCTAATGTAATAATTAGAAGGTATTCTTCATAAATGAATAATGTGCTAATGGTGAAATTACTACAACAATATGTCTTTAAAATATATATAATTATATATATAATTATATATATATATATCTATTACTATTCCATATCAATTAAAAGTTTATTGAAAATATATGGAAAGAAATTTAATACTTTTATATTTTATTTTTTTTTTTTTAAATTTAAGCAACTGTGTGCAGCATTAGTCAAAAAAAAAAGTACAAAAAAGAATAATACAATAAAGAAATTTGCACTAAATCAATATAAGGAAATAATTATAATTAATTAAAAAAACATATATATATTTCAGAATATAAACGTATTCTAAAAAATAAAATAGAAATAACTGTTATATTAAGACTCTATTTTTATTTACATAAAATTATAATTAAATGAAGAAAGCTCAAATATTAACAAAATGGAAAATAAAATAACAGTTATATTTTATTGAACAAAATAGTGAAATAAAAAAATAATGCATTAATATATTAAAGAAGTGAAAACATAAAAGTAGGTGTAAAATTAATAATATGATTAAATAATTAAAAAAACCATTAAAATAAATAAGATAAAAAACTTTTCTTAAAAAAAATATACACAAAATAATTTATTAAAAAAGTAAATAAAAAAAATATAATAATTTTTTTAAAATAATATAAATATAATTTTTTTTTTTTTTTTTATATATTTTAATTTAAAAATATATAAATAAAAAATTAATTTAAAAAAAATTATATCATTTTTTTTTGTAAAAAAATGTGAGGAAAAAGTAAAGAGATTTCAATAAATTTATATAGGTACACTTCCAATATTGAAAAAAGTACATAATTAAAAAAAATTATTATGTTAAGTATCCTTGCGGGAGGGGCATTATCGCTGTAAATGACGACTAACGGATACGCGATTATTGCTAGTTGAAAACTACTCCAATTCCCGTCTCAATGCTTGAAAAAGCAGAGAGCAATTTTTGTAGCCTTTTTTTAAAGGCAAATAATTTTAAATATATCAATTAATTTACATTTTTAATTTATTTATAAGTATAATATTATTTCTAAATATATTTTATTAATCATATATAGAATTAATAAAAATTTCTAATGATATTTTTTTTTTTTATATAAATTAAAATATAATAATATATATTTTTTTTTTTTCTTAAATCTTCTTATTTTTTTCTCTTTTTTTGGGAGAAAATTCTTGGTTTTTTTTTTTTTTTTAATTTTTTTCCATTAGAACAATAAAAGTTTATATTTTTTTCATGTAATTTTTAACTTATAAAAAGTATTTTCAAATTTAAAACAAAGAAAAGGGGAAGAGGTAAAAGGAAAAGGAATTTATAAATAAAAAATATATATATATATATATTTTTTTGTAATTAATGGATAATTTAGTAAAATTTGAAATTTTATATTTTTAATAAATAATGTTTTTAAATATTTCGAATAATTTAAATGGGGAAAGTTGTGATTAAAAAAATTGTATTAAACTTTATTTTTTCTTATCATAATAATATTCATTTTATAAAAAAATATATTAAAAAGGTAGTTTTTAATTGCTTCATTTGTTTCCATATATAAAAGTTCATTCAAAATCATGAACATTTGTATTAAAATTATTTTGTAAAAAATACCTCTATTCTTTTTTTCTATTAAAGTCATTTATAAGTTTAAAACTATGTATTATTGTCAAATTTTCTACTAATTTAATAAAGGATAATGTTTGTTTTATACGATAAACAGACGAAATAATTTAGTTTTAATAAATAAAAAGAAATGTCTTTTAAATTGTAATTGGTGTTTAGTTTAAGAAAAAAAGAAAGATAAAGTTATTAAACTTAAAATTTAAGAACTTAAGAAAAATTATTTAAAATGAAAAATTAGTAGAATACTTACATTTTTTTTTTTTTTCATAAAGTATATAAAAAATTTAAAAAAAAAAGTTAAATATTTTTAATTATGAGCAGAACATATATCACAAGTAAACATTTCATATTAATAAAAGAATAACATTTTTTTTTTTTTTTTTTTACATACAATTATTTATACTTTAAATAATTGGAGATAAATGTTTTTTATTATAGTAAAAAAGAATTTAAATACATTTATTAACATAAACATATTTACATCTGTATAATTTCTTTTACTTTTTTTTTTTTTTTTTCTCTCTAAAAAACATATTTTTAGTATAATTTTTTTTATTTTTTTTTTTTTGAAATGAATTTTGAAATTCAAGAAGAATATTATGTTCCTTCAGAAGTATTATTTAATATATTTGTAGATCCTTCTACATTAACTAGATTATCTAGAGGATCTTTAGCTGAAGTGGTTATATAAAAATGAATAGAAAGAAAAAGAAATATTTGATTGCATAATTTAAGTTATATTTTATTCTTTTTTTTTTTTTTTTTTATAATTTCACATATTTTTTATTTTAAGAAAATAGTTTATTTTTCATTTAAATATATTAAAAAATATAAATATTTTTGATATAATTTATAAAATTAAGTAGGAATTAAAAGTTGGAGGGAAGTTTACCTTATTTTCAGGAAGTATATATGGAGAATTTGTTGAAATTCAGAAACCTCAAAAAATAGTTCAAAAGTGGAAATTTTGTGATTGGAAAGATAGTGATTATAGTATTGTAACATTAGAATTTATAAATATTAAAGAAAATCATACTTTACTAAAATTGAAACATGAAAATATTCCTTTAACTAACAAATACAATGAAGGTTATTATTATATTGTTGCATTATCTTTAATAAATAAAAATTAATAAAATTTAACTTAAAAATTTTTTTAAAGTTATTTATTTTTTGTCATTTACCCATTATTGTAAACAATAATTTTTATTTATAGGAGGAGTTTTAGAAAGATGCAAATATGGATGGACTGAAAATTTTTTACGTAATATAGAAATAATTCTAGGATATCCAAAAAAAAAATAAAAATTAAAAAACTTAATTTTATAAGATGTATATTTCATTTATTTTGAAATATTTCCTTTAAAAAAAGAATATAAACAGAACTCAAATAAGTATTTTTTTTATAAGAATTCTTTTTAAACACGTTTTTTTTTCTTTTCCTTATATATGCTTAACCAAATGTTTAATTTTATTTAGTTAAAGGTATGAAAATTCTTTAATAATTTTAAAGAAAAAAAAAATTGTAAAAAAATTAGGAAAAAAAAAAATGTTATACATAATGTTTTAATTATAATATAAAAATAGTTTGCTTGTAAAAAAAATAGAAATTCCTACTCTATGTAGCAATATTATAGATGATACATTTCATAACTAATCTACCGTCTCTGCACTTTTTAATTTCGATTATTTGTCAACACTTAGTATATTTCACCAATAATATCTATATTTACATAATCATATATAAATAATAAGGCAAAAAAATACATGAAATACATATATTATCTACTATTATAAAAAATTTACAACATAATTTTATCAATGATTTTTTTTTTTTTTTTTTAATTTGTGAAGGAAAAAATTAAATATTTTTATAACTTTTTTACAATGATAACTTAAATCTGCATTACGTTTTGAATTTATATATTATAATCTTAAAAAAAAAAAAAGGATAAATGGAAAGTAATAATGAATATCTTAAAATCATCTTTAAAAAGTAACTTCAAAAAAAATATATATTTCTTCAAATAGCAATTTATCCATTTACGTTAAAAAAAAAAAAAAAAATAGGTTTTTTTAAATTTCTATTTTTCTTTTTTTTTTTTTTTATATTTTGTTTTGAATCCATTACTATAGTTTTTTAAACTATTGATATAATATATGTTTGATTTTTAATTAATAAAAAAAAGAGAAAAATTAAATTTAAGCGTTATGTAAAAAAAAAAAAAAAAAAAAGAAGTCCATTAAAATTGAAAATTTTTTTCTTTTAAGAATATAAATAAATCAAATATACTTAACATTTCATGATATTGTATATGATATTTCAAAAGGGGGAAAAAAAAACATAAAACTTTAGTTTTTATGTTTTCATAATAATAAATTAGAAAAAAAAAATTAATAAATTTTTTTTGTACATAAATTATATTGAATATAAAAATAGAAGAAAAAATACAAAAAAATAAACAGATAAAAATATAATATAAATGAAAGCTAGTATAAAGATATATAAAGTAAATAAAACGACGGAATTATTAATAAAATAGGGGAGTAAATAGTAAAAAAACATATTTTTTCATCTATATATATATATATATGTGAATTTTTTTTAATAATATATATGTATAATATAAATTAGAATATTTTAAATAATAAAGAAAAAAAAAAAAAAAAAGAAAACATACAAGAAAAAAAATGTCAATATTATGCACTATAAGTGGACAAACACCAGAAGAACCTGTTGTAAGTAAAACTGGTTATATATTTGAAAAAAGGTTAATTGAAAAACATATAATAAATTATGGTATATGTCCAGTAAGTGGAGAACTGTTAACTCTACAAGATTTATATCCAATAAAAAATGAAAAAATAGTTAAACCAAGACCAATTAGTGCAAGTAGTATACCAGGTTTACTATCAATTTTTCAAACTGAATGGGATTCCATAATATCTGAAATGTTCAGTTTAAGAACGCATGTTAATGATATTAGAAATCAACTTAGCCATAGCTTATATCAATATGATGCAGCTACAAGGGTTATTGCAAAATTACTAAAAGAAAAAAATAGTTATAAAGAAGAAATAGATAATTTAAGAAATCAGATTTTTCAATTAAAAAGTGGAAATGATATAAATGAATTTGAAATAGGAATAACTGATGATTTACTAAATGAAATGCAAACCACTGCAAAAAATTTATTAATGAAAAGAAAAAAAAGAAAAATTGAAAATGTTTGTTCAGTTGACCTTTGGAAAGAATTTAAAAATTCAAATGAATTTAATATACATTCCTCAGTAGTAGCAGGGGTAACATGCTTATCTTTGGATATTAACAAATATAAATATAATTATTATGATGATCATTCAAACCATAATTTTTTTTCTGGAGGAAAAGATGGAAATATATATTATGTCTCTTTATCTGATAATAAAATTTTATCAAAACTACAAGGACATTTAAAAAAAATTAATTCAATTGTATCTCACCCATCAAATTTTATATGCATTTCTGGATCTAATGATAAAACTATCAGAATCTGGAAAGGAGATTCTGATACTAACGAATATGTTACTTCTCATTTAATAAAAAAACATAAAGATAATATAACATCATTATCTTTGCATCCTTTAGAAAATTGTTTTATAAGTTCATCTAAGGATAATACATGGATTTTACATGATTTGGAAACATCGAAAACTATTAAAATTTGTAAAAATAATCCAAGTTCTTTTAAAAATGTATCTATTCATCCAGATGGAATGATGCTAGGAGTTGCATCGGATGATTCAAATATTCATATATACGATATAAAAAGTCAAGAATACAAAGCATCTTTAACAGGACACACAAAAGCAGTAGAATGTATTTCATTTAGTGAAAATGGATATTACTTAGCTTCATGTTCTAAGGATAACACGGTAAAATTATGGGATTTAAGAAAAGCTCTTAGTTTTCAAACATTAGAATTAGAACATACTCCAAAACACATTACATTTGACTATTCAGGAAAATATTTGTCCGTTTCTATAGGAAATGATATACAAATTTATAACTTTGAAACAAAAAATGAAGTTACATTAATTAAAACTCTTATGTCTCATACTGATGCTGTTACACAAACCTGTTTTGGTAGTAGAACTTCCTATTTATTATCAAGCTCAATGGATAAAACCATTAAATTATGGAATTAAATTTGTTTGTTAATTTCATATATATATATATATATATACATTTTTAATTCTAATTTTGTAATATCAACTTTTTACTTTACATATGTCTCATTTTTTTTCATTATTTTATACCATCATGTTATGCGTTTTTGTATTTTCGTTATTTTAAACTTACAATATTATTCTCATATTTTCCTTTTTTTTTTTTTTTTTTTTTTTTTGATCTAATTTTTATTGCTTCCCATTATTATGAAATATGAAACTCTTTTTAATTTTATTTTCATTTAAATTATATCATTATCTTATAAAATTATACTTAAGTTTATATATATATATATATATTAATTTAATTTTATTAAATTTTTGAAATAAATTATTTTTTTTTTTAATTATATTCAAAATAAAAAATTATGAATTTAAATTTATATAAATATATATTTTAAGTTACAGAAATAAATGAAAATTATAAATGACATAGAGACCAAAAATTATGAACATAGAAAAAAAAAATGGAACCAAATGAAAAATAATTGTACCATTGTATTTTTTTATTATTTATGGAAAATTTAAAATCTTATAATATATTGGCATTTCAGTGTAAATTTTAAATATAATATTAAACACAATTTTAAATTATAGAAATTTTTTTAATTTTTTTTTTAATTCATGTGTATATAAATATTTTTTTTTTTGTTTTTATAAAAAATTTATATAAAAGTGTTATTTAATTTTGGTGTATTTAGTATTTAATATATATTATAGAACAGTTCTTAATTGATAATAATCTGAATATTTTATATAAATATATATATTTTTTTTTATGTGTGCAACAATGAAGACATTTATTTTTCCTTTAATAAATTTAAAATTTTTTGTTTTTTTCTTTTATTAAATTAAATTAAATTTTTTTATTCTATTTTTAACGAAACATAAAAGTATAAATTTAGAAAAAAAAGAAAAAAATATATTTTTTATATTATTTATGTTTCTACATTTTACAATTGTTGTTAAAGTCTAGCATAGATAAAACAATTAAGTAAAATTTTAATAATCAAATTTGTAATAAATATAACATAATCTAAAAAATAAAAATATATTCTGAATTTAATGAAAAAAAAAGTGGCATGTAAAATTAAATACATTGTATTTAGGTTTTTAATAAGGTAAATATTTATAATTATTTAATGTTAAAATTTAGATGAATTAAGAAAAAACTAAGCTATGGTTTCTTTTTCTTCTCATGTATATATATACATACATTTTTAGTAATATTATATGAAAATTAAAAAAGAGATAATAATAAAAATATTTTACATTTTTGTCTATAATTCTCAATAATGTTTAAAATTTTCTCGTGAAAATTTAATTATTTCTTTGATATACTTTTGGACTTTTTTTTTTTTTTTTAGGGAGGTATGTATAAAATATATCTGAAGATTGTGCTATTTTGTGCTGTAAATAAAATAAAACTCATAAATTATTTCACTATCTAAATTTGTTGAACCAGTATAATAAAGACATGAGGGTAACGTTATATTCAATGTTTTTATTGCACTAAATATATCTTATATTCTTTGCATCTAAAAAAAAAAAAGTATATGTATTGTTCATATTGTTATTATATAATTATTATATTCAAATTATGTATTTTTCGATAAAGTCCTATAATAATTTTTGATATTTTTCTTGATTATATATAAAGATTATTTTCTTTGATTTATATAATATTTTTTTATATTTCTATGTTTGTCTATTTTTTTTCCCCTTTGTGATTGTGCGTGCGTGTAATTACTTTTTGTTTTTAATTTAAATTTAATTTAGAAATTTGCTATTTATTCGTTATAAAATTATTTATATTCATAAATATCTTCATATGTTTATAACATAACATAATATTTATTCACAGTATATTATAAACTTTTATAATATTTATATAAGCATATATATAAATTAAGAAATTAAATAAAAATAACAATAATATATTTATTTTTTTTTTGATAGGAAACGTACTTTGAAAAAGAAAACCCAAAAGTAATAAACAGCTCTTTTACAAAAATTCCTTCTTTTAACACATTTAACATAAATGAAGCGACAAATTCCATTAAATCATCTTATGAATATGAAAATTTTAAAAATGACAAAAATGATATGAATGGTTCAGAAATTTTAAGGGAAAAAAAAAAAAATCAAAATAAAAATTTTGAAAGTAGCTATGAAATTTGTAATGCTGATGAAATTCAGGAATTTTATCAAACAGAATTTATTGATAGCTCAAATGAGGAATTTCTTCCTAATAAAAGTTTATTAAAAAATAAAGAGTACTCCATATATCTTGATAAAAAAAAAAAAAATTATGAAAATAAACTAAAAATGGAGAAAGAAATATCGTTTCAAAATGAAATGCTAAAAAATATACTGATAAGTTCTCAAAAAATGAAAGAAATGCAAAAAGAATTGTTCAAGGTTGATGTACAAAATTTTATTCCTATATTGCCACCAGAGTCAAGAAATTCTTATTCCATACAAAGGGAATATACAGGGATGTATGACAATATAAATCAATGTTGTCAATATAATAACTACAACAATAATAAAAATATAAACCATAATTATTACAACAAATGTGAAAGTAACATAGATACAAATGAAGATATCCCTAGAAATTATTTATCTGGAAATATAGAGAAATGCTCTGAATCCAAGTTAATTTCATATCCATCTCGAATTGGGGAAATTAAAGTTAATATAGATGATATAAAAAAGGGATTATTATCATATTATTCGAATATTTTTTCTTTAGAACAATATGATATAGAAGATAGAATAAATATTTTAAGATACGGTGAAAAAAATATTTCAGATTCTTTAAATATAAAATATTCATATTTAAAAAAAGAAATACCTAAAAATCCACAGTTTCTTTATTACAACTCTGAATTAAATAATCCCTATTCATCAATTTATCAAAATATACCCCCTGAATATTATTACAGTTATCATTCTGATAAAAATACAAATTATTTAAAAGATGATATAGTTAAGTCTAACGAAAATTGTTATTCAGAAAAAACACAGAATGAAAAAAGTGTTTTCGAAGGCAATTTTGATCATCAAGGCCAAATTTCAGAATTGTTAAATAGTTTAAAAAATAAATGTGAAGATGCAAAATTTAGGGTTGAACATTTATCATCAAAATTTAATAAAAAATACGAAAATCCTGATAATAAATTTTGGATACACAACCTGGTACCACCGGTAAATTAAAAAAAAAAATAAATTTTATATATCATTATCCATTTAACCACTTGCAATGAACTATTTACTAATTAACTCAAAATATATGAAGTTCTATTTAATGAGATTATTAATAAAAATAAAACAAAATAATTTCCATATATATTTTCCTTTGTAGCATCTAAGGAAGCCAGGCCTAAATGATGAAGATGATATAAGAAAGCATTTAGTTACAGTATATGCGCAATTGTTTAATGAGGCAATGTTAAACAAAAAGAAAATAACAGCTCTTGAAAAAAAATTACATATATTAAAATTAAAATCAAAAATTTATAAAAATCAATGTAAAATAGAAACTAGAAACGCTTTATAAAAAATTTAGACAATTCAATATAAACATGGTAGAAAAAAAAAAAAAAAAAAAAAAAAAAAAAACCAAAACATTCATTATTTTGTATATAAATTCTACCATGATTATTTTTAAAAGAATAGATTATAATTTTCAAACTATTTATGCTTTCACTAAAATAAAATATAAAAATATTAGAATTAACATATATTTTTTAAAAATGATTTATATCACAGTACGGCAAGTTTGTACTTAATATAAAATTTGTATTATTTTGTAGAAAAAATAGTATATTCATTTATATATTTCATAATTTTTGTATAATATAAATGTTTATATGTACATAGAAAGAATAAATTAATTTTAAAAATTTTAACTATGGATATTCTAATTTTTTTGTATTTATTTTGAAAAACGTATTTTTTTATAATTTTATTTTTAACAAAAATTTTTAGTAAATTAAATGTTTCGTAAAATTATTAATTTCGTACCTTTTTAATTTTATTAGTTATAAATAAATATATTAAAAAAAAAAAAAAAATAGTGGACAATAGTTGTTAATTATTTACCCATTAAAAATAAAATGAAAATACATAAAAATATTATCAGAGAAACATTATAACTATTAAAAAGAATATCTTATAATTCACTCTTTTCATTATAATTCATTTTGTATGACCATAGTATACCTATATTCCTTTTATTTTTGATTAAATGTTTTGTTAATTTTCACTTTATTTAATCTTTTAAAAAACTAATAAATGAATGCTGCTTTTTAATTATTAGGATCATTATGAAAATATAAAAATAGATTATTATCTATCTAAAGTTATATAGGCAAATCTCATTTAATATATACTGATAATTTAAAAGTTATGTGGCCATAAATTATTTTTTTTATCTTTTAATATAGAGTAATTTAACTATTAGAATAAATATATAGACTTCTATAATGAGTTTTTTTATATTTTTAAATATATAGTACTTTATTTATACATATAACTTAACTAAAATGTATAAAATTTGTAATTATGAGAATTATAAAAAGGCTTTATTAGTGATCCCTAAACAATAAAAATAAATGTGTAAAAATTTTATAAAATTTTTTTTTTTTATTATTACAAATAAAATAAAATAATGGCAAATTCTTAAAGATAAATACTATAATTTTTCTTGATGATTAATTCTAATGTTTTTATTAAAGAATTGCTCAATATTCTTTTTTTTTTTTTTTTTACTTAAATCATTAAAAGATAAAAAAATAGTAAAAAATAACTTATTTAAAAAATATTTTTTATAAAAATTTTGTATTAAATTTAAAAAAATACTAAGATAAAAATATTATAAAAGTATACATGTACTTACGTTTTTTTTTTTTTTTTTTTTTTTTAATATGTTTGGAAATAAAAAGTTTTTTTACAGAAACCTATAAATGTTTATCATAAATTGGATTTATTAAATTATTTATAATAAAAAAATATCAAACTTTTAGCAAAATCAATATTGTGATATAAAAACTAGTATAAACAAAATTTCCTTATTTTTAAATAAATATTCAAAAATTTATGAATTATATGCCTTGTGTTTCTTGCTTAGTATATATGTATATATATATATATATATATTTTTAATTTAAATTATGATAAAATTAAAGTTATTTAAATTCAACACGGCAATATGCAATTGTTCAAATTTTTTGGTTCTTAAAAGATATAAAAGTCACTTAAATTCAGTGTCAATTTTACAGCAATTTTATAATAGATTACCTATACGAAAAAAATATATAAAAGCAATAAAAAAAGGAACATTAATTTGGGACAAGGGACAAGTGTGTATAAAATATTTATTCACACAAAAATATTCATAATTATATATATATATACATATATTTTAATATATATTGATAAAATTTTTTATCTTTTCATTTATTATAGGTAAAAATTCCACCTTTAAAAATAGAAGGATATGATCCACCTAAAAAATGTTTATCTCCGTTAAGTAAAAATAGAAACAATCAATATAGAGGAAGATTTGAAAATTTAAAATCACATCGCGTTGAATTCCAAGACTAGAAGAAAATTTTATGTAGAATTAAGTTTTTTGTAAAAAATTTTTAATTTTTAATGTGTTTCTTTTTATGTTTAACAAATAGAAATTAAAAAAAAAAATTATAAAGTAAAAATATAATTAGATAAAATATTTTTTTTTCTTTAAAATATTAAAAAAAATAAAAAAAAATCTAATATTTTTAGTAATACACTTTCAAAAATGTTTTTATTTAAAAATAAAAAAAAAAAAAAAAAAAATTCTTAAATATAAATGTTTCAAATAAATGAAATAACATTCAATAAAAAAAAAAAAAAAGATAATATAAAATAAACCAAAAGTTAATTTTAGAAAAAGGAATACATATACTTCTGACACTGATAATTGTAATTTTAATTTGATTAAAATATGTATTGTAATTGTAAATTAAAAATCATTGAAAAATAAAACACATTAAAAAATTTTTTCTCATGTGTCCAAACTTATGTTAAATAAGTGTATATATACATATATACAAAAAAAAATATAAAAAAAAAAAATTTTTTACAATGCAACATTTTATATAAATTTTCTCCACGTTTAATGTTTTTATTTAAATGTCCTTTTTAATGTTTCCTTCTTTTTTATGTTTCCAACTATTCAACATCTTAAATTCCTTAAAAGTATTCCTTTAATATGTTTCATATTATGTCACAATTTTTTTCATTAAAAATATGTATTATTTATAAGGTTCTTATAATAATTATTATTTTCATTAACATAATATCTCATTTTATATATATATATATATATATATATGACATATGCCCTGACAACTATAATGTGTATTTTAATTCATCTCTTGAAAAATTACTGTCATTTAGTTTTTCAAATGGTGGATAAATTGGGACTAAACTATCTTGATGACCTATATAAACATTGTTATAAATTCTCCAATAAATTTCTCTAACTTTTCTTGATGGATGAAATAAACCTTGAATTAAATATTGAAAAATAATAGCAGGACCTAATGCAACTCTAAATCCATCTATTGAATCGATTACTGCTTGAATAAGATGTGGTGAAGTTTCAAAGATATTTGGCCATACATAATTTAATAAATGTATTAATGCATCTTCGCGATTTAAACCAAAACAACCTAAAGCTAAATGCTTACATGCCCATGTGGCTATTTGTCTGTGAACTAAATCTCTATCAATTAACGCATGTTCTAATAATGATACAACTGAATATACATAATCTTTTGCTATCTCTCCAATATATTCAAACATAAAAGATAACGCTTTTAATACACCATTTTGAACATTGAGATCTTGTGTTCTATATTCATTCATCAATGCTGCAAGTACAGAATAAGGTAAACATGTATCTGCTACTATTGCTATTGCTACTGTAGTACAAACTCTTAATTGCCTTTCTTGAACTCTTAAATTGTTTAATAAAACTGTTAAAACTTCAAATGGTCCAATAGTACGTGCTATATAACCAAAGGTTTGAATTGTTGCTCTCCTAATTAATTTTTTATTAGATTTTAATAATTCAATTAAGTCAAAACAAATTCTATCCCATTCCTTGGGGGAAACTAAGTCACCTCCTTTATCTGCAATAATTCCAATTAAATCAATTACATTTTCTTGTACCTTTTCATGTCTATTCTTTAATATGGGAGTGATTCTTGGTAATAAATCTTTTATTGGAGGTGTCATATTCTGTACACCTAAAACTACAACAATAGATTTAAGGGCTCTAATAATATTACCTAAAACTTCTGGATATTCTTCCCCTAAATATTCATATAAATATAAAGCTAAATGACCTAACATTTGCTGCTCATCACAAATTTTTATTAACATAGCAATTCTTGATATAAGGTCTGCACTTTGTTGTCTAATTTTGGGTAATGGAGTGTTCAATCTCCACCTAATTATACCAGCAATTTGTGGTAAATATGGTTTCATTCTTAATTGTAGTTTATTAACTATAACGTCAAATGCATTTAATAAAACATAGTAGTCATCAGATACTTGTTCTTGAAAAGCATAAAGAATTCCATCAATTAATTGTTCTTCTAATTTTTGATCTATATCATCAACCCCTAAATTATTAATAATATTTTGAATAGTTTGCATAACCATTTTTCTATATTGTTCAGATGGATCTTTTAAATCGTCAACTATTCTAGAAATAACAACAGAACCACCAATTTTGTTAGCAATTTCAACAGTGGTTTCTACAATTAAAGTAAAATTTTTTTTATCATTACAATTTCTCATAACCCAAAATTTTTCAAAAAAGGGGTTAACAATTTCTTGATTAATATAATCTTTTTCTATTCCTTCTGTTTGTATACATTGTTTAACACATTTTAAGACAATTTTTTTCATTTCTTCATCCGGTGAACTAAATTCATTAATAAGAATGATCATAACTTCTCTTGTATAATAATTAGCATGATATGAATCCATTAACGGTATAATCAAACCAATAGCTTTTAAAAAAGCAGCAAGTACCTTTCCTCTATATTCAGTAATACCTTTCCATAATGGTCTAAGTACTGAATCAAAAGCTTCTATTCCATATGGGGCTGAAGCTTCAGCTAAAGCAGCCAATGCTAAAGCAGTGATTGTTCTAACTTTTTGTTGCTCATCATGTAATCCATGAGCAATTATATTCACTAATTGTTTTAAGTGTGGTAAGACAGCACATCCCATTAATATAGCTATTTGTTGAACGATTTTAATACCTGTATGTCTAGCTTCCCAATTTTTTTTTGATTGACAAACTGCCTTTAAAAATAATATTAACGATGGAATACCAAGTGCAGATGCAACAACAGCAAATGCCCTGGCTGTTGTGTTTCTAACATATTCATCAGGATGATCAATATCAGGTCTCATAATTCCTATCATTGTAGCTAATCCTGCTGCCTTTGCCAAATTACTAATAATTTCTCTCCCTTCTACTCTAGCATAATAATCTTCATCTATTAGTAAAGGTTCAATAACAACTAATATTTTGTGGACATATGGTCTTACCAAATCATCTAATTTAAACAATATTCTGTCAATAACTTTTACTAATAAATGTCTCTCTTGATCTTCTAATGTATTTTGCATCATTAATGGCAATATTAAATTGAATAAAGTATTTGGCCCCAATTCTTTTGCCTTTTCAGTTATAGTTCTTAAAGCAGTTCTTCTTATAGAAGGAGTTCCATTTTTTATTTTTAATAAAAGTAGCATGAATTTTCTCTCTTTTAATTCATCTTGAGATAAATCTTCCTCATTTACATTTTGAAATAATTTATTAAAATATATATAATCCTCATTTTTTAATTGAATATATTTTAATTCGTTTAATAAATGAGGATTGTTTATTTCTAATTGCTTATTCTGCATAAGATAATTTGCTTCTTCATCTTTTAAAGTATTATTTACTGTTGGTATATCATAAAACGGAGTATTTATGAAAGTGCTATGCATATTATATGGTGTTGTTAATAAATCATTCTCTTTATTTTCCTTTATTTCCATATTATTTATATTTGTACTTAAACCATTTTCATTTAATAAAACACTATTATTATTATTTAATAATGGAGTATTATTTATATTTTTAAATAATGCTTTTAATTTGTTTTTTCTTATTGTTTCATATTCTTCTGGTGCTTTTACAATTTCATATCCTTCTGAAGGTAATAATTCATTTAAATCTTCATCCGTTAATGGTCTATTTCTTATATCCATTTCATTTTTTATTTTCATTTTAATAAATGTATCTGTTTGTAGTGTTGATATCCCAGGTGTTAAGGGAGTATATATATTAGTATTATTTGGCACAAATGGAGTATTTATGATATTTACATTATTATTAGTATCTAATATTGATATTTTTGGAGTTTTTAAATCATTACTTACATTTTCTGAATTCCCAATTTTATCCCATCTTGATACTTTTTTTTTTTTTAAATTACCTTCATTTAATATAAAAGGGGTATCAACCCATTTATTAGGGGCTGGTGTTGGTATGCTCCCAAAATTGAGATTATTTTCTTCCTCTACATAATCCCATTTAGTTTTTACACTTTCTTTTTTACTATTCTCATTCATTTTATATTTTTCTTCATTCTTATTCATTTCATTATTAATTTTTTTATTTTCATTAATTTCATTAGATTCATTTCCTATATTATCCCACTTCATTTTTCTTTTCTTTGTTTCATTTGTACTTGTTTTATTAATTATTTTGCTTTTTTTCCCCTCATTATTTATTTCTAACATTATATCTGTATATGTTCTCTCACCAGGAGAAGGACTTTTTTCTGAAAATGGATCTACTCTCTCTGGAGACAATATATAATCATACTTTTTTTTTTGAAACTCATTTTCCCTTTTTTTAATTGTTTTATCTTTTACTAAACCTAAACTTATATCATTTATATCATTATTTAATAAATCATTTTCAATGATTTCATTTTTTAATTTATCTATATTTATTCTATTCTTATTAGCATTATTTAAGAAATTATCCGGATAGTCATCATTTAATGTAGTATCTATTTCTTTTACATATTCTATATCTCCTCCATTTAATTTTTCAACATTATTATTTAAATTTTTATATAGATCCTTCCTATCAAATTCATTTCTATTTGTTCCCATGATAAAGTTCCAGAAAAAAAAAAAAATAAAAAAAAAAAATTATATATATATATATATATATATTTAGGTATTTTTTTATTTTAGATTTATATGTTTATTCTTGTATAATTTCACACAATAACTTTATTTTATTTCTCTTTTCTTTAAATGACATTTACATTTAGCATTAAGAAATTTTATATTTTTAATACTTATGTATTTTTTAAATATTTAGTTTAAGAAAAAAAAAAATATTTAATTTCAAATTAAGGAACTGAAAAAAATATATATAAAATATCCATTGAATTTAAAAAAAAAAGAATATTAAAATTGAAACATATATATATAATATATGTTTAATTGAGAAAGAAAAAAGAAAAAAAAAAAAAAAAAAGATAATACTTAAGCCTTCAAAAATAAAATATATGTTTATTTAAATTTATATATTATATTTTTATAAAAACATAAAAAAAAAAAAAAAAAAAAAAAAATATTAAAGTTGTAGAAAATTTATAAAAATTTTAAATAAATTGTTTTAATAAAAAATATAAATAAATATAAAATTTTTCATTGTGTAACAAATATATTATTCCTTATCTTTATGTAATTAATTTTGATATTTTATATTTTTTTTATTAATAAATCTCTTCAATTTGATTTTTACTATTCTCAATTTAAATTAAACTTAATAAGAAAAATTATAAGAAATATATTTAAACATAATTGCCTTTTTTTTTTTTTTTTTTTGTTTTTTTTTAACAATTTTAAATTATTTTTGAAGTTATTTTTTAATTTTACTGTTATGATCTTTTAATTATTTTATCATTGTATTTTGTTTATATATTTATAGTGATACTCTTAAAATAGAAGAAATGATAATATAATTTATTTTTAAAATAATAAAAAGATATTTTAAGTAAAATTTTGATATATGTATATATATTATATATTTGTTTAATATTAATATTTTTATATTATTTCTGAGAGTATAACATTTTTTTATATAAAAATAACTCTTTTAATTATGAAAAGTATCCTTAAAGAAATAATGTAGTTGATAATTTACCTTATAATTACCTTTATTATATATATTAGAAATATAATTTTTTTTGAATTAAGAATAGTTGCATAAAATAAATTATAAATGCTAATATTTTATATCTTTTTTACCTAATTTTGGTATAATTAAAAATATATATATAAATACGTGATATTGCTATAATACATTGACATTATAATTAGTCTTTTAGAATTTTGAATAATATAGTTAATTAAATAAATTAATTTCCATAATAATAAATAAGAATCCATATTTTACATGTGTATATTTTATAGTATAAATAGAAGTTTCATAGTTTTTTTTTTTTTTTTTCTTTATAAATGTTAGTAAACACAATTATTAATAATTTTTATTTTTGTAAATAAATAAGAAATGTAATATATTTATATTGAAAAATTGTTAATTTAAACATTATTGTATCCATATATTGACCTTAATAGTAATACATTCAATTGTGAATATACATTTTTTTTATTAATTTATTATTATATGCATGCTATATTAATAATATTACATATATATTAATAAAAATATAATAACAATGATAGTAAAAGTGTTTGATAATATATATATAAGTAATGTTTATAATGCTAATGATATATATCAATTAGTTAATTTAAATATTGGTGGTGTTTTGACCTGTTTTGGATGTAAAAGTATTGATTGGTGTTATTATAACATTGATGATTCACATAAAATTTTTTATAAGGATAAATTTATAAATTGTAAAAATGAATTAAAAAGAAGTTGTCATTGTTCTGTAGAAGAAGAAAAAAATAAATTAAATGTTAATTTTGAAAAGGAAGTAGGAGATATACAAATAGGTGATAATATTAAAGAAAATAACAAAGATTCCTATATGGAAGATAATCATAATTTATATTGTGGATCGTCATCACATTACGACTATATAATAATTCCTAAAGAAATATTAAATCCAAAACTTTCCAATAATACAATTAAAGATTACGTAAAGGCAATGCTTGATTTAAATGATGATACTGATATAGATTATGTACAGTGTAGAAAAAATGAAGGAATAAATTTTAAAAATAATTTTGAGGACCATTTAATTAAGAAAAATGAAATTAATTTAATGAAAGAAGGTAAAATAAATAAGGATAAATGGGAAATAAGTAAAAATAAAAATGATGAAAATGTCATAATAAAGGAAAATCAAAATAACACAGAAAATTTAGATAGTATATCAAAAACTATTGATATTTTAGAAAGAGAAGATGATAAAAGTGATTCTTTAAAAGAAGGTGTGATGAGTGATGATATAAAAAATAAAATAGTAGATTCAAAATCAGAAGATAAGATACAGAATGTTTGTGAATTAAATAAAAGTTTAAGAGAAGAAAAGAAAATTTCTTATGCCAATATATATAAAATGAAGCATTTGTATTTAAATATACTTGATACGTTTGATGAAAATATTCTCGACCATGTAAATAAAGCTCATTCATTTATTGATAGTGTTATTGAAGAAAAAAAAAATGTTTTAGTTCATTGTATGGCAGGAATATCTCGTTGTTCTTCTATTATTTTGTCATATGTTTCTAAAAAGAATAAAAAGGGTATTAGTAAAAATTTATCCTTATTAAAGAATAAATATCCATTTGCTCAACCGAATGAAAATTTTTATCGTCAACTGCTTCTTTATGAAAAAATGAATTACACTTTAGATGTAACAAAAATAAAAAAATAAAAAAGTTACTTTTTATTTTTATTTTTGCTCATTATTTTTATAAAATATATTTTATTTTATGATATATTTTAAATTAAAGGGATGTACTGAATATCATAATGCATATAAAAAGATAAAATTGAATACAAAATTTCTTGAGGAATTAAAATTTTTTAATTTAAAAAATGAAAAAGATGCAACATACAAATTTCAATGCAAGTAATTTTCTAAAATATAAAATTATTGTTTATAGATAATACTTATTATGTTGTTTATATTTATTATCTAAAATTTTAGTATTTCTTACTAATTTTATAAAATTTTCATTTTTTACTTTTTAATATATTTATTTATAAAAATAATACTTAATTTTTATTTTATTTTATATTATATTATTTTTTTTTTTTTTTTGTTATTAGATTTTGTAGACACACGCTTTTCAATGATAATGATATAATTAAGCATGATTTAAATAAATACAAAATAAAGAAAAATGTTAAATAAGATAAATTATTTCTAATAAAAAAATAATAATTTCATATATTTTTATTTTTATCTTTTAACTTTTATTTTTTATAGTATGGTAATTCATGTACTAGTATTTTTATAGAAAAAAAAGAATGGTTAATAACAGAAAGCAAAATGAAAGGAGTACTATATTGCCCTAATGTTAATGTTATATTTCTTATAAAAAATATCTTTATTAGTATAATATTTAAATATTAGTTTATATTTTTATTTATTTTTTTTTTTTTTTAGTGTAAATTAAAATTAGGTAAATGGTCATGGAGTGGAATATGTTGTTCATGTGGTTATTTACAAGTTCCTGCTTTTATGGTATTTTTTTTTTTATTATTTTAATATGCAAATATATAAAAATTAAAAAAAAAAAAAAAATGTAATTCTTTTTTTTTGTAGATTAATATATCAAATATTGATCGTATGAGTATCGATAAAGAAAATTAAAAATATACTATTTTGAAAAAGTAACAATTATCAAGAATATATATTTGTTTTTTTTTTTTTTTTTTTTTCTTATAAGAAATATATTTACATATATATTTCACTTTAATATAATTTATTTGGAATTCTTATTTTTAATTTATATAAAATTTTGAATTCTCAGAAAAAAAGAAAAAAAAAATATAAAAATAAGTTAATTTCTAAAAGTCTAAAATATATGTTTATATAGTGCAAATTTGAAATGGAAATAATTTACTTTATAAAAAAATAAAAGAAAATTTTTTTTTTTTTTATAACTCTTCATTTTTTTCTACCTTAGATGTTCTCTTATCAATATCTATTATAGGTGAATTTCTTCCCTCTTTAATAAGAAAAAAAAAAAAAAAGCAAATATATAGAAAAATAATTTTAAAACTTTTTTAGTGAATTTAATGAAATTTTCTAATGTATACCTGGAAATCTTTTATCAAAACCAACTTCAATAAAATCTATTTCTTTTTGAATCAAAAAATAAGTTGCTAAATCCTCAGTAATAGCTAAACAAAATATTGAAAAATAAAATATAAAAAATAGATAATATTTTTGTAAGATACAAAAGGAAAATTGGGAACTATAGTACATATATAAAACATAAGAAAAAATAAAACAAAATAAAATAACAATTTTTAATGATTATTTAACCTTTATTTTCATAATAGCAAGTAAAAATTCCTTTTCCTGTTTTTTTAAGTTGAACATGTAACATTGCGTTCTGTAATAATGTCATATATTTTTCTCCTAACTTCATAAATTCTAAGTGATTTAAATACTTTTCCTAAAAAAACAAAAAAAAAAAATAATGGTAGCAAATATATAATATACACGTTATTTTATATTTTTTAAAAAATAAATAAAAAATGTTAATTATAAAATAAAAATATTATTCTCAATTTTAATAAGTTATTTTATTATAAAAAATATATTTTTTTTTTTCTCTAATATATATATGTATGTATTTAAAGATAATAAGTATAGAAATAAACTTACATATTCATTGTCAATTCTAACATAAACATATATCTGGGTTATGTAACTATAGTTGTCTTTATTAGCTATTTCTTCAATATCTGTTTAAAACAAAAAATTTACTTTATATGAATACTAATTTTTATTATATATTTTATTAACATTACTTTTTAATTTTATATAAAAATATATTTTTAATCAAATATTCAATATTATTTTTTGTAGACTTATATAAATATACAAATACTTCTATTTCAGAAATAATCTAAAAATATAAAATTTTTTAATACTTTGAAATTATTTTAAAATGAATATAATTCATTATTATTCTTTAATTTATTTATGCACATACATATATATATTTTTTTTTATTTTAAATATACATATATATTTGCACATAAAATCAAGAAAAAATAAAATAGATTACTTTCAATATCATCCTCTAAACCGCTTAAATCTAATTCTTCTATATCTTTTTTAAAATCACGATTCTCTAAATTATATGGTTTTGTTTCATTAATATTTTCATTCACAATTAATTTTATTCTTTCTATTATTATAAATAAGACAAATAAATAATATATTTTCATTTTAATGATATTTGCTAGTAATAAGAATAAAAAAGTTCACATAAAAATATCTATATTAAAAGTTATTTTTTAATTTATTATATGATTAACAATAGAAAAAAAAAAAAAAAAAAAAAAAAGGAATAACATTATAAAAGCTAAATTTAAAACTAGAAACAGAATATATTTATTACACATAAAAAAATAAACAAAAAAAAAATTACTTTAATAAAAAAAAAAAAAAAAAAAGCCTTTATTTTCATAAAAATGTGTATGTACAAAAAAAAAGTGTGTTATCAAAAATGTTATTATTAAAAAGAAAAAATAATAAAATGTAGTTTAAAAAATAATATAGAAAAAAAAAAGAAAAAATGAACAAGAGAAAATGGAATTAAAAAGAAAAAAAAAAAAAAAGTTACTAATTAAAAAAAAATAGCTAGATATATAAAGTATGAACTTTTTATCTTATTGTCTTATTAACATATTTTAAATTCTTTACAAATAAAGTATAATATATTTTTTTAAAATAAAAAAGTATTTCTTTATATCATATATATATATATATATATATATATATATANATATATATATATATATATATATATATATATATATATATATATATATATATATATATATGTATGTTGTTAAAAATTAAATTTTTAAAACATTTTCGTTATCTTGTAAAAACTGCTTTATCCACGGATGTGATTTCACTTCTTCTGCAGAAATTCTCTCTTCAGCAGTTCTACTGCATAACTAATTATAGTTAAAAAAAGAAAAAAAAAAAAAAAAAAATTAATAACAATGAATAATCAATATTTTAAATAAAAGAAAAATTAAAAATTCATGAAACATTATTCATAACATACTATATATACACGCAATTTATAAAAATAAAAAATGATAGCATATTCATTATAACATCAATATTATAATATATTTAATCGTATTATTTTATAAATATATATATATATATATATATATATATATATATATATATATATATATATATATATATATATATTTGTTTACTTTTAAAATTAGTTCTTGAGCTGACAAAGAGACTGTTTTAGGAAAATGAAAATTCAGTTCTTTGATTTGATTAAATATTCTCTCCTAAATTAAAAAAAAAGAGAAAATAAAATATATAAGAAATAAATTAAAAAAAAAGAGAATTTAATTTTTTTTTTTTTTTTTTTTTTTTTATTTACTTGAGTATCATCTGTAAAAGGAGGAAACCCAACTAACAATTCAAAAATAACTATACCTAAACACCATAAGTCTACATTGCAATCATATGGCATTTGATTAATAATTTCAGGTGGCATATAATCAACAGTACCACAAAATGTACTTCTTTTTTGTCTTTTATTTTTTAATTGGCAAGAAAAACCAAAATCTGCTAATTTTATAATTCCATATTTGTATATTTTATTATCTAAATATTGATCAGAATAATGAATTAGTATATTATCAGGTTTTAAGTCACGATGAATTATATTGAAATTATGTAAGTAGGATAAAGCATCTGCAATTTGATAAACATATAAAGCTACTTCTTCTTCTTTCAATGGTTGTGATTTTAATTTCATTTTATTTCTTACAGAACCACCATTAGCTAATTCTAAAATTAAAAATAAACGAGTTTTATCTTCAAAATATGCAATCAGTTCTAAAATATTTATATGTTTTAAACTAGCTTGAATAATTATTTCTTTTAAAACTTGTCTTTCTATATTTAAAGTTAAAATAGTATCTTTTGCCATTACTTTTAAGGCCACCTTTTCATTTTCTTTTTTTATTATAGCTTTAAAAACTAAACCTGTTCTTCCATTACCTATAGGATGCTTATCTACTATAAAATCATCTTGCTCATAAATTTTTTGATTTTGCCTTAAGTTAAATGCTGACAATGGTTGTAGCATTAAGTTTTCTTCTTCATCATTTAATGTATCATTTATTTTACTTTTATTTTTTCTATCGACTTCTTCCTCTTTTTTTTTTTTTTCTTTAGCTAACCATTCAAAATATGAAATTTCTTTCTTTTCATTATTAGATGAATTGTTCGAATTTTTTTTTTCTGAATTGTCTCTTTTTATTTTCTTTAAAGATTTGTTATTATCATCACAACTATTGCTTTGCTTTTTCAATACAATATTTTTACTAGTTTTCTCCTTTTTATTTATACAATCCATTTGTTTTCCATTTTTTATTAAAATATTATTATTTTTATTTTTTCTTTGAGTATTTGGAGGTATTGAATTACTTTTTAATTTATACTTATTACTGCTTTTATATTTTTCCATTTCTTCATTAATAATATCTTTAAAATTGTTATTGTTTATATATTTATTGCTGTTGTAATCATATATGTTTTTCTTCTTTTGTTCAATATAATTTCCTTTTTCTCTATTAATTACATTTAACTTTTTTATATATGATTCTTTGTTATTATACATGTTTGTTTTATATTTATTTCTTATAACTTTACTACTGTTACTATTACTAGTAGTATATATAATTTTTTTGTTTTCACTCAATTCAATATTATCAGAAATATTTTCATTTTTTTTATTAATCAAATTATTATTATTTTCGTTTATATTTTTTTTTGTCTTATATCTAACCATATTATTACTTAATTTTGTATTTTTAGAATTTATAGTATCTCCACTTTTTAAGTTTAAATTACTTTTCAAATATTTACTAGAATTACTACTAATACTACTACTTATTTTTTCATTTTCAGTAATTTTTTTCTTAATTGAATTATTTTCTATTTTTTTACAAATACTGATATTTCCACGTTTCCCATTTTTCGTTTGTTCATTATTTATATTATCCTCATTTTTTACTTTTTCATTAGATAGTGAATTATCATCTAAATATTCACTTCTTATTTCTTTATTAATCACTTTATTATCATCTAAATTTTCACTCCTTATTTCCTTATTAATCACTTTATTATCATCAATATGTTCCTTCTTTATTTCTTTATTAATCACTACATTATCATTTATATGTTCATTCTTTATTTCTTCATTAACTCTATCTTTATTTATAATTTTATTTTCTATTTTTATTATTTTGTTATTCTTTTCACAATTATTTATATTTCTTTGTTCTTTTTCACCTAATGTAAAATCAATGTTTTTATTTTTTGTAAAGATTAAATTACTTAAATTTTTCTTGCCACAAATATCTATATTTTTATTCATATTCAAATTTTTAGGATAATTATTAACAATTAAATTATTATAACTTTTATATTTATCCTTTCCTAAAACATTATTAGAATTTGATGAACTGATGATAGTAGTATTATTTATTTTTTTATAATAATTACGAATAATTGAGCTAGAATTATCATTTTTTTTTTTGTCATTATTGATAGAATACATATATTTATCATTTTTGTTATTTCTAAGTTTGCTTCCACTCATTTCACTTGCATATGTATTTGATCTAGTAAAACTATTATTTTCATTTTTTGATAAAGTTTTTATTTTATTATTTTCCTTAAAATTTTTTTTTATAGTTTTTAACTCACTACTGACTTTTTTATTAAAAAATAAGTTACTTTTAGAGGAAATAATTGATGAAAATTTTTTATATTTATTAACTAAAACTTTTCTTTTATTATTTTTATCACAAAAATTATTAGCAGATTTTAGATTGCAATTTTTGTTTTTATTTAAGATTGCTTCTTTTTTTAATAGCCCTTTCTCATTTTCAATAATTACATTGTCATTATCTTTTTTCTCAACCTCAAAAACTTGTATATCCTCATTGTCCATTGTTATTATCTCCTTATTAGAACAAATATCCATATTTTGTACATCATTTTCTATATTTTCATTTTTTATTAAATTTAAATTTTCTTCAATTAGTTTTTTCTTATACTTGTTTTGTATTTCATTAAATAGATTAATATGCCTACAATTTTTTTTCTCTTTGTAAATATTTTCTGTATTAGTGTTCCAATTAATATTTTCATTTTTCGAAGTCATTTTACTTAACTCATTTTTATCTTCATTTTTTGTAATATTAATTTCATTATAATTACAATTTTTATAATCATTACTAATGTTCAATATACTTTTACTGTTATGAAAATTTTCTGTATTACCTACAGAAAAGCATTTGTTATATTTATCACTATTCAAATTATAATTAGAAGTATCATTAACTTTTTCAATAGTAGAATTATCATAATCAATTTCGGAATGCATTTTTATGTTATTATTTGTATAATTATCTATATTTTCATATATTTCTTTACTATTATTTTTATTATTTCTATAATTCAAATCATATATATCGATAGATCCTTTTTCTTCATTTGTGTTCAAACTTCTTTTGACAAATTGTTCATTCATTTTATATGAATTTTCAATAGATGTAGAGTCGTTATCATTTTCTTGTTTAAAACATTTACTAAATTTCTCCTTCTTACCGTTTATCTCCTTAAAGTAATTTTTTTCAGTCAAGTAATTGGAATTAAAATTCCCTAAAACATTTCCAGGAATTTTATCACATGTTATTTCTTCATCGATTATTGTTTTTTGATGTAATGATTCTTTATTAAACTGTTCTTTTGATTTTATATTATCATTTATACTATTTTCATTATTTAAATTATCTATAGAAATTTTATTATTTTGATTAATAACATTATTAATATAATGATTTCCTTGATAATTATAGTTACCTTTTATTGAATTACTAAAATCAAAACTGGAACAATTTATTTCTCTGTTTTTATTATTTTTTTTCAAAACCTCATTTTTATTTCCATTTACTTCAAATTCTTGAATATAATTATTTTCAGTATGTGAATTATTTTCATTATTTATGTTTTGAATAAAATTTACTGAATCATTTAATGTATCTTCATTAAACAGTTCATCATTTAATTCATTTGATTTTTTATATTTATTTTTATTTTTTAAATAATTGTCATTCACATTAATTTTATTCTTAAATATCCATTTTTCTTCATTTAAAAAATTTTTATTTAATTTTGTTTTTTCATCATTTCTTTGGTGAATCGTAGATGGAATAATATTATTTCCTATACTTTTATTTTTAATATATTTTTCATCATCGTAGTTATACACTTTTTTAATATATTTAAGATTATTACTTTTTGTGTCACTATAATTTTGTAAAGAGTTATCGGTATATTTTGACTCCGCCCCTTTATTTTTATTTTGATTATAAGTATCATTGTTATTTAGATACTCCATATTTGATTTTAAATCATTTGGTTGAAGTTTTTCCTCACTTTTTTTATCAGTAAATGTGGATTTATTTGATAAACTAGGTATTTCTTTATTCATTTCTTCCAAGCTTCCTTTATCTAAATTATCTTGCATTATTCCTTTTTTCTCATAAAAACCATTGTTATTATGCTTTACGTTTTTATTATTAATGTTACTCATTTCTCTAAATTTTATAATTGTATTGGAATTGTTATATGAATTAGAATTAATAAAATCATACTTTTTAAATTTGCATTTATGAATATTTGTTTTGTTACTTAATTTTCCTTCTGTATCTATTTTTCTTTTATGATTTAAATTTAAATCATTTTTATACGTAATAAGATCATTTGAAGGTATTATATTTCCTTTTTCTGAATCACAATTGTATTTTTCTATATTTTTATTTTCTTTATATAAAAGACATTTTTTATTATTTTTAGAATAATCAACTTTTTTATTAGAATTTGAATAATCATTTATTAAATTGTTTTTGTTTTTCATAATTATATTGCATTTTGTATTTTTTTTTTTCGTATCATTTTTATCATTATATTCATCTTTTGAAAGGTTTTCTAACACTTTTTTATTTTGTGTAAAATCTATTATTTTATTACTTAATGAATTTTTATCATTCTCTACATTTATGTTACTTTGTATTTTATTTATACTATTTGAATTATATAATTTATTTTTCTTTTCATTACTTGATATTATCTCATTTTGATGTAATCTTATATTGGTACTAATTTTTATGTTGTCATTAATATAACTTTTAATTTTATTTTTTTGTCTATCTTCTATTTTTTCATAACTTGTAATTTTTACATTTTTTTCATCCATATTTATTCAATTTAAAATATGGCTTAATAATACGAGTAAACAAAATATTTTTCCTTAATTTTATGTAAAATCATACATATTTTTAAATTCAATTATATAAATATTTAATATATATATATATATATATTTAAATTTATGTAACATACAAAATATTATATATACAGCTAAATCTACACTTTTTTTTTAAATTTTACTAACTAATTTTTATTTTTTTTTTTTTTTAATTATATGTTATTTTTCGTTGAATAAATAGAAATTATTTTTAACTATTATTTTTTTGATTAAATTCTTTAATTTTTATTTTTAAAAGTCTCAACATTTAAAAAATTCAAATACTTTATATGTATTTTATTAATTATATTAGATTTACAATTTATTTGATTTTTCTATTTTTTAAACATTTTTCATTTGTTTTTTTTTTTTTTTTTTTGCACATACTAATAATTT